GGAATACTTCACAGGCGCAGTACCAGAACCAGAGTATCATTCTTGTATTACAGACTAGGCACTGTTACACCAAGACCTGAGAAAAGGAAAGATCTACAGCTGTAGAAGACAGAAGACGATAGAGTTTAGGGCAGGAGAGTGTTCAAATCATCGAGTGAAATTATGATTTCACACTTCACCATCAACTTTCTCCTTTCCCCAAACAACAGTGGATTCAACAGAGTAAATAGTACTTTTCAGCTGCTCTAAACCTCCATCTTGGGCCAGGCCGCCCTTCTGTTCTCTAAGAAAGACAGGGAAAAACAGCAGGCAGATAAAGTTATTACTGTGGCTTTGGACTTCAAAGATGGCTCAGTGGGCAAAAGCACTCACCAGAGGGGAAATGCAACTCAGGCAAGCTGTCTTCTTAACACCACAGGGCCACACAGACAAACTGACATAACAAAGAAAGTCAAGCGAACCAGAGCAAGCCCTGCAGCTGTGAGGACGGTGAGCTGACTATACCACAGGACTCACTCATTATCCTGTGATGTTAGCACGCAGCATGCAGGGAGCACGGAGAGAAAGCTCTCAATTGGGAACTCGAGCTAAACGCCTACATGTGGCTTCCCCAATCAACTTCTGCATGTGGTAAGACCTGATTTGATGTCTACCTGCTACTCCATATTTATCCTCTTACGTTTGTGAATTATGTACTTCATGAAGTCATTCAAAGCTGAAAGCTCAGCTAGCACAGATCATTTTCTGTACCATGTAGAACCCCCCCACCCCGCCCCCAAGGTCCTATCTGGCTTCCAGTACTGGTGGTGGGTAGCACCCAAATGTGGAGTGCTGAGGAGGCTTGGCTGGTTCTCTTCATGAGCATACACCAAAAAGGACATAGAAAAGCACAACATGGTGTCAAGGCTTAGTCAGACAGCTTGGGACAGAGTAGAGACAAGGATAACCTCTACTTACATGGTCATGTGGTGTGAGGAATAAGGGAGAGATTACATCCACAAACCACCTACACTTTGCTCAAGCCACTACAAAGAGTGACACACATTTTGCCTTATTATAGATACTCTAGCCCCCTCTGATAGTTCAGTGAGACTGTATCCTACCTCCTTTCACAAGAGAAACAATGTCTCATTGCTAGTACCCACTACTACACTAAGAATAAGGTTAAGCATGCCTGTAGCCTGATCTACATGTCCCTGAGTCTTGCTCAGAGAACTGACAGCTACTACACATTTCCTTCCCATACTACACACCTTCAAGAAACAAAAATCTAAGGAAGACCAGCAATCAATCCATTATACAACACCAATGTTTTTACTTTAAGCTGGTATCAACTAGAACTATCCCTAATTCAATTTGTCACCCAAACTGCCCTTTATCACAGTAGATTCAAGAGAACTGAGCTGGGCATGTCATCCTAGCACCTAGGAGGCAGAGGCAGAAGGACTGCTGTGAGTTTGAGGCCATCTGGACTATGTAATGAGTACCAGACCAGCCTAGGACACGAAGCAAGACCACCTCAATGATATCTGCCCCCACTGCTGGCAAAGAGAACTACTGATCGGGTGTGCGGGTACAAATCTGTAACCTCTGCAGTCAGGAAGCAGAATCTTCAGTTACAGGCTAGGGATACACACTTAACCCTATGTCTAGCATGAAAAAGAGGGAGACAGAACTACTGAGTGTTACTAAACATTACCTATGTGCTTCTGGTTACTCATAAACATAGGATGCTATATGTGGGTAAGAATAACAAGCCAGGGGCTGGAGAGATGGCTCAGAGGTTAAGAGCATTGCCTGCTCTTCCAAAGGACCTGAGTTCAATTCCTAGCAACCACATGGTGGCTCACAACCATCTGTAATGGGGTCTGGAACCCTCTGCTGGCCTGCAGACATACACACAGACAGAATATTGTATACATGAATAAATAAATAAACAATTAAAAAAAAAAAAGAATAACAAGCCAGTCTGTAGGCAATGTAAGGGGGAAAAAAAAGAATAACAAGCCGGGTGGCGACAGGACACACCTTTAATCCCAGCACTTGGGAGACAGAGGCAGGAGGATCTCTGAGTCCCAGGCCAGCCTGGTCTACAGTTGAATTCCAGGATACTCAGCGCTACACAGAGAAATCCTATCTTGGAAAAACAAAAACAAATAAAGAATAATAATGAGCTGACAAATGGCGCAGTGGGGATGCTGGCTAATCTTATGTCAACCTGACAGAAACAAGCATCTTTTGGAAAGAGGACACTGCAACCGAGAAAACCCACTCGATTGACCAGTGGTGCATTTTCTCGATTGATGACTGATATGAGAGAGCCCAGTCTATGTGGGCAGCGCTACTTGTGGGCTGGTAATCTGGATGCTCTAAGAAAGCAGGCCCAGCAATCCATAAGAGAGCAAGCCAGTGAGCAGTGATCCCCCACGGCTTTTGCTTCAGTTCCTGTCTGCAGATTCTTGCTTTGAATTCCATCAATGATGGACTGCTAGCTGGAGAGGCAGGAGAAATGAGCCCTTTCCTCCTCAGTCTGCTCTTGGTCATGGTGTTTCCCCACAGCAATAAACACCTAAGACAGCCGGTAAACGCACTTGCCAAGCACAACAATTTGAGTTCAACTGCGGGACCAGACTTTAAAGGGAGAATTGACTTCACAGGTTGTCCTTCGATCTCTACACATGCCCATTCGCCCATGCAAGGGAGACACCAAAGGAAGAGAGAAAAGGGTCTCCAGAATGCTGAAACTAATACCAACTTGCTTCTCTTGCACTCTGTCCTTGATACACAAAAAAACTGCTCTTTATTAGACCACACCCAGTTTCGCGCACAGGCTTGAAGAAATTACCTACACAACTAGCTGAATATTGCAATTTCCATAGACCAAAAGAGACGGCCATGGATGGCAAAATGGTCCAAAGTAAAAGGAAGAAAGGCCAGGTGGGAAGCTCAGTCCACACTCACATCCTTCTCCTGGATGGTGCACTCTTTACAGTAGTAGGCATCCGAGACTCCGGGACCTCCACAGATCACACACCGGCCCTGGTAAGACCCATAGTTACACTCGTCACATATGCGAACCAGGGTGCAGGGTCGCACGTAGGAATCACAAATCACACACTTGCCATCGCCTGCAAAGAAAGGAGACTGGAGTTATATGCACAAGCGATTTCTTCCTACACAGAGCTTTCCTCGGTTCTAAGGGGGAAATAACTAGTCTCCTTTTGACAGTGACTTTAGACCTCTATCTTGACAGCATAAACCTTATCCTGTACCGACCTTACTTTCCTTCAGCATAAACAAATGCTAACTCATATAAGGAAAGAATTTGGAGCTCTAAGTCTATGTAGTTATCGTCAACTGAATACATGCATCTTGCACACACACTGGCCCGGGAAGGTTGACATTGCTCTGACGGTTCTTACTGTCCAAAAGTAGACATCTTTTTTCAAAACCTAAATATGAAGTATTAAAAACGTGCAAGCTAAACTGGGAGGAAGCCTTTGGTGGCAATCAGACATTCAGTGTTCGCGGTAGCTTGGCATAGCTAGCTATTCAATGTTTCTTTGCTGTTCCTCTGGAATTAATGACTTGTTGGATCTTCAAAGAGCAAAGAAGGAAGGCAAAGGGTGAGCGGGCATGTTCTGCTTACATTTTTCACACAATCTTCCGATAGCTGTAAGATCAAAGATGGTAAAATTAAGAGTTAAAATTAAAATTGCTATTTATGAATTGTTATTTATCAACGACGTTGTTCCTCAAGCTGAGGATGAACGATGGGGCATGTAGCAATGACTACAGTGAGCTATGCATGATAGCTGTCTTATGCTCCTTTTTCTCCCTCTCCACCGCCCTCCGCCCCCTTCTGAGGTAAATTTCCGTTGTGTAACCTGGAACTACTTATGTTGTTCAGGCCAGCCTGCCTCGAACTCACATCAATGTTCCTGCCTTCAGACTCCCAGAAGATGGGATTACTTTCTTGACCTACCACGCCCGGCCTATGCTCCTAAATTTTGCTTTGCACCAAAGCCTTGTCCCGAAAGCTGTCCTGAATCCTCCCAAGTCCAAAGCAATCCGGGACGGCCCTGATGCTCCCGCCAGTTTTAGACCCACATGCACACTCCCGCCCTCTCATCAGATACTACAAACCGGAGCGCGCTTACAGAGACCGTAAGGCGCGAAACGTGGAGCCCCCAAACCAAAGCCCGGAAGAGGAGGTGAATCCTCCCAGCCCCCAGTTTCGTATACCATTCCACTCAAACAGAAGGGAGCAGGGAACCAACTCACCGACACCAGCCTGCTTACGGCAGAAAATCAAGTCTGGATGATGTTTAGCCATAACTCTTTCCCCAGCCGGCGGCCGGAAGCTTAGCGAATTTCCGCTCGACCTTTAACCTACACCTAACCGTTCCTACGCCCACTTCTCCATGATTGGTGGTTAAGATGTCCATCAGCGTTAACCCACCATTGCACCAAATCCCGCTAGATCTCGCGAGAGTTTCCTCGGCGGGATCTCGCCTTGCCATACATAGCAGGTGCATCAAAGACTTAGATAATATTTTTTTTCTCCTGATTTGAACGTATAACCCGATATTTGTTCTTGGATAAAATTTCTACACATGGCCGGGTGGTGGTGGTGGCGAACGGCCTTTGATCCCAGCACTCGGGGGACAGAGGCAGGCGGCTGTGAGCTCGAGTCCAGACCGGTGTACAGAGCGAGTTCCAGGGCAGTCAGGGCTGTCTCGAAAAACAAAGCAACAACTTTTTTTCTACATGTTACTTTTTGTGCTCGGGGTTGAGGCCAAGGGCCTCATGCATGCTTCCGCGAAGAATGCGGGTTTGGGGGTGTCTTCGATGAGTCTCAGGAGTGAAGGATGACCTTGAACCCCTGATTCCCCTCCAGCTCCCAGTCCCAAGTGCAAAGGTGACCGGACGGCGCACAAAGCCAAGCTGGCAGTTCCCTGCTCTGCCCGTCCTGGAAGTCCCGCCCACTGCGCTCCCTGGACCCTGGCTCCGGGAGCCTGATCCGCGCGTCAGCGTGACGCGCCCCTCTGGAGGCCACGCCCCTCCCAAGGCCTTTAAATATGCCGTGTGGCACGTCACTTTCACGCGACCTCATCTTTGTCAGTGCACAAAATGGCGCCTTACAGCCTACTGGTGACCCGGCTGCAGGTGAGCGAGCTCAGATGTGTGGGTTCACGGGGGCGGGGAGCCTGCTGCTCTGCCCGCGGCGGTAGGCGAGGCCAGGCGAGACGGGCTCGACCTGGGGCTGTACCTCTTCCTGCCGCCGGCCCAGCGCCCTTGTCCTCTCCTGCGTCGACCTAGGTCAAGGCGTCCCTGGCCCAGTCACTTCCCAATCCCCGTCCCCGCGCGGCCGGATCCTAGAGTCTAAGCAGCCGCAGCCTGGTAAAGGGTGGGGGCACCCCTTAGTTTCTGAGGGCCGAGGTGCCCGCTCCCCTAGGATGGTTTTCTGTTCCTCAAGGTGATGACAAGGTGACTGGGGGGCGCGGTGGTTTGGGTTTCCCCAAGCCGGGTTCTGGAAGCCGTTACTTTCCACACCAGCAGAGACTTGCCAGCCGTGTGTATCTGTGGTTGCCCGGCCTGGAGTTACACCCAGTACTACCTTTTGAGGACACTCGGGGTCACAGATGCAAGAAGGGGAGCGCATTCTGGGCCCCGTTGTAGTAAATAATCATGAAACAGTTCTCTTTCACCTGGGTACCACACGTCAAGACTAATGGTACTTGATTTATTTATTTCCCTGGCGACATAGATGTCAGGTGATTTTTTTTTCCCAACTCGATAGGTGGTAAAACTGCAGAAAAGTGGATGAAAGTTCTGGCTTTCACGGTGTCACTAAAGTGCCGTGGCCTGAGCAGTGACCTGCAGTCCCTCCGTTCACATCCTTCACGGCAGCCTAATGTCACAGAACTGCCTGGACCAGGGTGTGGTCGTTTCTGTTTGTCAAGAGTACAAAGTCAAGTATTTCGAATTCACAGTTAGTTGCTTTTCAGATACTAGGCGGGGAGATGAGAAGACTCAGCAGTTTGACCTTGACTCTTCTGTTAGGACACTTCTAGAAAGTTGACTATGACTGGCAGATGGCTTTTCACTCCTAACTTGACAACCCTAAGAAGGTATATGAAGTTTGCTGTAGAAGTGTGTATTTCATCAATAAAAATAAAGCAATGAAATACCTTGTAGACATGTTTGGTTAATCATTTGTGTGTCTGCTTTGGACCAAGTGGCACAGCTTTTAACATAGAATTAATTTTAAAAAGTTATGTGCTGTACTCTCAGGAAGCATTATCATTTGAAGTTATTCTTTTATCACATTACTTAAAAATCAAACTGTAAAATAAAACTCTTCTTTATCTGAACAAATCTTTGAAATTTTGGCCAAGGTGAGGGATTTGCAGCTGAATTATCTCTTCAGTTCCTTTGTTTCTTTAGATAGTACGGGGTGTTTTGTCCTGATCTTATCCTATGATTTAGTGGAGTCCAGAAAAGATTTAATAGGATAAATGACTTTTGGGTATGGAACAAAGATAAAATGTCCCATTTGGACCGTGGAAAGTGTGTGTGTTAGAGTAGTGGAGAAAGATCTGGGCTATAGTTCATGCCCTGCTCTGATCCCATGACCTTGCAAATGTAACTTCCTATGTCCTTTGTCTATCGGTTGGGATTGGGCTTTATTAGACATGTTTATTGAGCACTTAATTATGGGGAATTAGAATGTGTTTACAGTGATGTCGTTCAACCTCCTTTACATGTGCTGAATCTAAGCCCTTGAGAGACCGAATGACTGCTGGAGTCAGGATTACAGTTGCAGTCCCTTAGATGTTCATTCAGCTAAGGTGGATGAGGAGTGTTATGTCCTGTGCAATATGCTGCCACACCCAGACAGCGAGGCAGTCTCAAGTGATGCCCCGTGATTCTGTTCTCAGAACATCTTTTGTTGACCGCTTTTTTGCTTGATGCATTTGAGAAGTGATGGTTAATACCTTGGTAGCTGTGTCCAGTCAATCTCTAGTATGCACTGAGTACTTCATAAACATCACTGACTTTTTCTTTTCTTTCTCGTTTTGGTCTTGCATTTAAGACTGGCTCTTACCTGTGTTCCTTGTGCTGGCCTTAAACTTTCAATTTTCCTGCCTTATTCTCCTGAGTGCTTGGAATATAGACACATGCCATCATGGCCAATAGAAAAATTGGTAAGAAGACAACCCCAGAGTTTTTGTCTTTTTCCCAGTGTACGTATGTAAGTATGTATGTATGTATGTATTTTTTTAAGGATTTACTTATTATGTGTACAGTGTTCTGCCTGCACACTAGAAGAAGACACCAGATCTCACTACAGTTGGTTGTGAGCCAAGATGTGGTTGCTGGGAATTGAACTCAGGACCCCTGGAAGAGCAGCCAGTACTCTTAACCTCTGAATCATCTCTCTAGTCCCCTCCCAGTGTATTTAAAGTTTTACTATTTTATGTTGTGTGTGTGGGTGTTTTTTGCCTGCATGTGTGTATATGCACCATGGGCATGCATGCCTTATTCACAGAAAGCAGAGGAAAGAATCATATCCCTTGGAACTGGGGATAAAGATGGTCATGAGCCACCTGTGGGTGTGGGAAGTCAAACCTGGGTCCTCTGGAAGAGCAGCCGGTAATCTTAACCACTGAGTCCTCTTAGTAGATTCCAGTTCCTGTTCTTGTGGAATGTTTACTTTATTGTAATGTATCTTTGGAGATCTTTCTCAGCCTGAATATTTATTACTCTTCTTTTCACTGAACCAAGTGCGAAGGATGGTTACGAGATGGTTCGTATCACTCCTGCCACTAACACTAGCACTTATTTACCTTTTATGACCCTGGGGTAAGGCAGGCAGGTGAAGAAACAGAAAGAAAATACAGCATAAAGGCTAATAGCATGAATTCATGCATCAAAATATCTGGGCTTGTATCCTGGTTTATTAAGTAGCTCTAATATTCAGTAAGTTACTCCATCTCTCTCTACCTGTTCTTTTAGATACCATAATATATCAATTTTAATCAAGTAACAGTTGCAAAGTGTTCAAAACCCTAGCTGACACCAGTGAGAGTTCTATATACTTATTAAATAAGTACACTGTTGCCACGGACCGGCTCAGGGGAGCCACTCAGACCGTGGGAGAAGCAGGGTCTTGGTAACAGGAAGGCACAAGTTCGGCGAATGACAGACAGACACAACACACAAGAGAGTGGTTGGAATCTGCTGCGATTTTACTGAATTTGTGTTTTCATTAATATAGTATTCAAACAAAGAACAAATCAGAAGGTCATGTGTCATTGGTTGGCACAATATGAAAGCTTTTAGTCACATCAGCAATATTTAAGAAAAGTTATTATCAGGAACAGGTGTTAGACATAAAGCATCCTTAGAAGAGGAAATCTTGTCCTTGGGAATGTAAACCTCAGACAAGTGGTTTCATCTTATGAATAGAAAGTTTCTGTCTCATTATCTCTATCATGGCCCTTCCTCTTCCTAACCCTTTATTTCATCTAGTGACCAAATATACCTAATCAGTTCTCTGCACCTGTTGAAATATACTTTTTAGTACCTTCTTATGCAGCAGACATCATGGGGGTTGGGATCTAGCAAGCCTATCCATAAAGTTGAAAGTATAATATAACAGCCTTTGTCCATCAACATTAACCCATCTATTACTTTGCTCATCATATACCCTGTGTATGACAAAGGTTCTGCTGTAGTCTTATACATTCCCATACTGTGCTTCCTTATCCCAGAGCTGTTTCTGAAGAGAATGATCCTTGTGTGTGTGTGTGTGTGTGTGTGTGTGTGTGTGTGTGTGTGTGTGTATATAATCATTATTATAAAAAAGATTGTGCAAAGCTCATATCCCGCATAGCCAGCTAATCGAGAAACCAGTCTATGCCTCAGCTGTGGCTAATACCAGGCTGTCTGCCATTGACCTCCAGGAAGCCTAGTCCCATGGGACACGTAGCTCCCATCCAGCATAATGACATATGTCATGTCACACAGACGACACTGGAGTTGGTGTGGCACACTGTTATCACTACTTTTTGGTAGATCTGATGTGATTGGATGTGCACATTTCTGATTCCAAAACCTGAGGGCAGCAAGTGGCAGTGTGCTGCTTCCCTTTGGCAGTGAGACTTAGCCTTGCATCAGAACACCACTGGCTTCCTTACCAAGGACCAGTGCTGAATTCCACACATTCTATCGTTTTTGTAGTACTTGCTACAGGTAGAAAGAAACAGAAAGAAGAAAGATGACTCAGCAGTTGACAGCACTGACTGCTCTTCAGAAGACCTGGGTTCACATCCCAGCACTCACGTGGCAGCTTACAACTGTCTGTAACTCCAAGATCTGACACCTTCCATACAGACATACACG